CGAAGACAGATATTTAAATGGGCAATAAATTATATTACCTCGTACAATAATTAATACGGTAGGTATTATAAAAATTATAATAATTAGTTTTGGTTATTACGAGAGGGTGAGCTGATAATATATTGTTATTTACTGTCATTATCTGTATTGAGTAAGTATTAACTATTAGGTACGTGCCACGCACCACAATATTATTATAATACATTAAATAAAAGACAATTTCTGGGAGAACTGTGGGGGGCCGGCTAGGGGGATATTGTAATGTTTTTTTTTTAATTTTATTTTAAAAATATAATAATTATAATAGTTGCGTTTTTTACATTCATTATATTCAAATAAGATTTATTTTGAGAATTAATTACATGGTCAGACACGATACGACAAAATAGTAACAAATTTCGGTATAATAATTATTTAATAACTAATAATTTCTAATTTTACATAAACATTTATCAATTTCCTTATCATTAGATTATAACGAAGATGTATATTATTATATATTTCTATAAACGCATTACCAGTGTAACATTTCCTAGTGCATCTTAAAATTAAACCACTATTAATATATTGGAAAAAATTATGACGTAATATGACAACTAATAATACTATAATATAGCTTTAAAAATTTAATTTAATTAATTAAAAGAACGAGAAATTTTTAAAACAAAATAATATAAAATAAGCTCGAAATTAATACACCAATGTTACACCTATGTAAATAATATCATGTGCGTAAATTCCAAATGTGTTTTAGTGTTAAAAATTTGATATACAATATATTTTATATAATATTATCACTCACGTAACTTAGAGGTTCTAACGTAACCTCGACCTAAAAACATAACACAAAATAAATTATCTAGTCAACAATTACATTTTATGTATGATTTTGTATATTATTGACGATTATACAAAAGTTTTATATTTATGTTTATATTTTCGTCAATCATATATTATTGGTGACATATCATTTTTGTACGCACAATGTACATTACTATTTTTGTGTACAATACTGAATACAGTACGCAATATAGCTATACATTTTATATTATTCCAGCAATCCAGCTAACAGTCGGTAATTTTATAATATTATGTAGAGTACAAGTAAGGTAACACTAATATTATATTCACTATCAACAAATACAATAACCTGTGTGTTTGTGTACCTAAATATTCTAGAGAACCTTTAACGTCAAAAGGGCGAGCCCAAATGTGTATTGTACTTATATAGATTCATTAAAATTATTTAACATTTTTGAAATGTGCGTAAAATATGTGACAATATTTTGTAAATAATCCAAAAGATTATCAAGGGTTGACGACAACAAACTACAAAGAGACACTCTACATGTACATATTTTACATACTAATGGATAAAGACACTGTAATAATAATAATAATAATAATATTGAGACGGCCACACGGACGATTTTTTTCCTTTTAATGTGCTGCTTGATGCTTAAAATAGTTTGAATTAATAAGAGTATAAAAGGAATCCTTTTACGGAGACGATACGACACAACCATCGAGATATGAAAAGGAGATTAAATGTTCAAACCACGGTACCTAAATGGAATTTCTTTTTAGCTATGTGTGCTCATATTGTGCTTTATTCGGAGTTTTAAACCGCACACAGGCGGGCCACACACAGGTATTTTTATCAACGGGAAAAGTTTCATTAAACACACAATCTCACCGAATAGGTATTACAATTTAAAAGTAAGACTAGACATTTATCATCATAATATTATTCATATCGGTTGACGAATATTACGAAATTATACACGTTCAAATGTGCGACTGTTCCCACATTTTTAAGTTTTTTACCCCTGTCTTGCACTCTTGCTACAGTGTACTTCGATTGTCTCAATTTACAAACGCTATGAAGTATGAATTTATTATCGTAACAGAGTTACCGAGTGTAAAACCGAACAAATCGACACGTCGTAATTCAGTGGCGGAGTTGGCGCCGGGGTGGGCCATTTAACGTCTCGATCCCGAAACTGGCACGTCCCGATTTATCTTATTGCATGGTTGGAAAAAGAATTGTTATTTTAAATATGAATGACACTAGTTATTGTAAATGTATAATGATATGAAAAAAAAATACCTGTCGGCGAAAACATAAAAAGACATATTTTGTAGTTTGTACACAGTTTGTGTATACGTTAATATTTCTGACCTGTAAATATTAATTTAACATTTTTTTCTTTTTTTCACTTGTTCATAATATTATAATGTGGATATATTTTCATTGTTACTATATTGTAGCTGATTTTAACAGTTGACATGACATAATAATATACTAATACCTTGTTAACAAAACAATATTTAGTTACTTATATAATATTTGATTGTTAAAGAGACAATAACGGCGTTTTATGATAGAAGTTTCAGGCTTGACACATCCATTGCGGGTTGATGAATACAAAGTGTGTTTTTGTATTATTTATTTATTTTTGTTGCCCACTGGCCACTGACCACACCAGGCCCTGTGATGTATAATCCGCCACTCGTGTAGTTGAGAGCAACGTGTCATTGCTCTGGCCTCTGAAATAAAAGTGCAAAAATCGGGTGAAATATGTTATGAACAGTTAAATGGTACAAACTATAATTATTAATATTATGATCTACGATCGGCTCGTATTGCTCAAGGTCGATTTATTATCAAAAATTAGACCGGAACCGGGAACACTGTACAATATCGTATCCAATTTGTAAATGATTTGCACGTAATAAAAGTACGATAATAATAATAACAATAACGACAACAGTAATTAGGTTATAGTGGAAAAAAAATATTATTCCGGCAAGTGGACATATTTTTAATTTTTTTTATCATCTGTTCGTAGATCGAACATATTGCATTTTTGGTGATCAAAATGTGTTTGATAAAAGAAAAGAAAAAAAAGATATAATTCACAGAACGAAGAAACCTCCTTTTTGGGGTAATTATTTGAGTGTTACGCCTTACGCGGACCTACGGCCGAAAACTCGTCCTTTGAAATTGGACGAGGAGTGAATTTAGTATTGTGTTTTCCAAGGATGTTTATTTTTAATTTATCGAATTCGTACTTAGGTCCGTTTCACAGCCGCGCGGACGGTCTGCGCAGTGGAGTAGACTGGAATTTGGAAAATTTGGGGGCGGGGGCATAATAATATAATATTATATTCGTTATAAACAAATACATTTACAAGAAAAATCGCAGGGTAGTGGTCCCTGCACTAATTATTATAAGTATATAAAAAAGGACATGGGGGGGAGGGGTCCATCAAAAATATCACCTACTCCCACCACCTGTAGGGTACTCACGCATGTAAAACATGTAGGGTTAGGGTACTCGCATGTTTTTCGATTTACATTCGTTTAATTTCGAACGCGCCGATGGCTTGGAGCTGTAGTAGTTACGAACTTGAATATCGAAAAACGAGAGTAACGTAACTACGTAAGCGCTTCAGCTATGTGAAACGGGCCTTAAGTAATAATTAATTTCATTAATGTCCGTTTTAGTCTATTTATATTTTATCCGGTCAATTCATTTTAACGGACATCAGAGACAACGGACAGTGGGAAGTGGCCTCCTACTCCTTGGCGGTGAAATTTTTCACGACAGTCCGTAGTCCGCGAGGCGCGAACGGTACGAACCGAACTCGGAACTAATATAAGATACACGAATCAACCAGATCAAACGTGTCCGAAAAGTGAGTGCTTTTTATGATATTAATATTATTATTATGACGTTCTTATTCGTGTTATATTTTATATTACGACGCATTTAAATTTCCCCCTTCCTCCGGCCCACCCGAAATACGCAACCGGCATTCGAGAGTCTGGGTTATTCCAAGACATTTTCGAAATAATTACAATTAATTATACACACGCACACACAATATACCGAAATAGTCGACGGGATTCGAATCGCGTACTCGCGTCCGCACGTTCACTGATATTATTTATTAAAATACAGAGTGGGTAATTACGAGATACGTTGTATTAAAATTTAAAATTCGTATCCAATAATAATCGACTGGTCGGGCGATCAGGTCAATCTCGTAGCTATCGAATAATAATAATAAAACTGTCCTTGACACCCCCGTCCGTACCCCGAGAACCGAACAGTAAACAATGTAATATTGTTGTATTAATATAGACACACTTTTATAATAATAATAATAATAATAATAATAATAATAAAATTATACATAGTAATATTATAAGCAAAACATATGATCGTCGTTGCCGTCGCCGCGACCATAATAATATTATGGTCGGCCTACACGTTTCGCGCGGAAGGTCATGGTTTCTCGCGGCTGCGGACGGTCGTTCGACGTCGGCGTACTGGCAGCACTGTGCCGAAAGTGCCGCCCCCCCCCGCCGCTGCCGACAACCGTGGGCCCGGCTGCCACCTCGTCGAGGTCGTCCACAGCACTCCACACTCCACCGACCACCGGCCAACCGCGCGGTACGCATACACCGAACGGACGCCGTAGCCGCCGCCACCGACTGCTGCGTCGTAGTGTCGTCCTCGTGACTTTTCCCCCGCGCTAGTCTCTCGTTACGTCGCCGTCGCCGTCACATATTATCGTCAGTACTCAGTTGCGGCGCAATTAGTGTGCACTCGTGACGTGAGCGTTTCGTCGCGTGTTTCTGGCTGGTGTGTGTGTGTGGTTTATCCACGATTTAATTTTGTTATAATAATGTGTACATGTATGCAGTTCAACATATTTTAAAAACATACACAGAGTATAATATATGTACGATGCGTATATAATTATTTATTTTCCTTGTTTGAACAATATCGAAACTATTTAATTTTTTTTTATTTTAAAAACGTTTTTTTTTTTTTCATTGTAAATATTTGTTTTCCCTCTGTCGTACTTGGTTTAGGTAAAACACGTTAACCAATTTCCCGTGCGAGTTCAATTTTTTTTGTGTACAAGTGCACGTCCTCCGTCCGTCGTTTTGAAAAAGAAAAGAGACGCACGTCTTGAGAGCCATCATGGATTACGGTTTGGAGCCGCTGCAGAGGGCCAGGTCCAACACTTGGCCCTTGCCCAGACCGGACGCCGAGGACGGCGGGTCCCAGATGCCCGAGGGCAGCCCCCCGCAGTTGTTGGACATTACAACCGACTTTGGTGGAAACGGCAGCAGTAGCGGTACCGTTGGCGGGGTGCCGTCACCGGGCTCGGGGCTGCACCCGCCGCAACAGCAGCCGGGTGGTGGCATGGTCAGCGGGCCGGTCAAGAAGACGTCCAGCCGGAGGAACGCCTGGGGTAACCAATCGTACGCGGACCTCATCACGCAGGCCATCAGCTCGGTGCCGGAACAGCGGCTCACGCTGTCGCAGATCTACGAGTGGATGGTGCAGAACGTACCGTATTTCAAGGACAAGGGCGACAGCAACAGTTCGGCCGGATGGAAGGTAAGACAGTGATCCTTATCCGTCTACGGCACCGGCCTACTGAGTAGCATATAAGTATTATAACCATATAAATGACCCTCCCCCGGCTTGTCTTTACACGACTCCTCCACCCACAACACCGTTAAACCGGACCAGTCTGCGTAAATAATTCGTCGTTTATCTAGTGCCTGCTAAACGTTCTGGTTTTTCTTTATGCCCCACCCCCTCCCTTACCGAGTCAGAAACCTTTTAAATATATTCGATTTGATTAAACTAGAACGTTTGGTGACAATACTTATTAATAATTCTGAGAATAATCGACTTTGGGTCAGTGTCCTGTGCTTATCGGGAGAAAAGATCGTTGTGGGGTATTACCACTATGCTGTGCGTGGTGGGGGTGGGCCGCCGTCTTCGTGGACCGTGTACCCCCGCACCACCTGTGTGCCGAGTACACGTGAGACCGTCGTTCGTCGGGTAGCCACTGAAATCGGATCGGACGGTATTCACCGAACGTATTATAATATTATGTTCCAATAAAATATTAGGTATTCTATGGAGTGTACTGCTCTGTTGCGGCGCACGCTGAGGATTTTATTGTGACCTCCACTGCAGCGTGCGTACCGCCGTAGAGGTCAACCGCCGACGAGCCGCGTTTTGGCGCGCGCGTAATCGATGCTAATTTATGGGCCCAAAGCGGCGCACGTGGTGGTATGGCCGACGTTGGCCGGTGGAAGGCGATCGCGAAATACGCAAAACGCCCCCCCCCCCAGGAGATCGCGTGCATGCGAAACACCGCCGCTTGCCCGACAACGTGTGTGGAACTCGCGACTCCGGCGAGTGTCAATTTTCGGCGGGATTCCGTGACTGCGTGAACACACCGCGCCCACCGTGACTGGTGGAGGTGGTGGAGGCAACGGCGGGCAGGCGGTGAAACGGTATCATCTGTCCGGTGCAAAGAGTACGGCGGACATACGCTCGCGCGCAATATCCAACGTACACGCACGAGCGCGTCTCGGTCTCATACAAACAAACTGATAAGAGGTGACCAGTGGTGCGTGTGTACCTACGAGCGTACCTTAATAACGCACGAGAAAACGAACCGTTGCTAATTAAAAATACTAGAATTATAGGGAACGCGCGGTAACACCCACCTACTCACCAGCGATGTACCGCTGACCAAAGAGATGATCGTGTTTGAATATTATCCGATAACGCGGATCCCGGTGTGTATCACGGGTGAAAGGGTCATCTCGGATAAGACGCGCGATTGGATATTTTTCTATCCGTTTTCCCCGTCCCAATAATCTACGTTATTATTATTATATTCCGTAGGTACGTTACATCGTCATGATGATGGTGATGATGATGGTACGCCTCCCGTACGTCTTTCTTTCCCGACATTGGCGCTCAAAATAACAATATTAATATTATTATTATTATTATTATTATTATTAATACGCGCACACGTCCGCGTTTCTGCGAGCAACTCGTCGTATTTCCGTTTCGTGGTGGTGGTGGTGTGGCCAAGCACACGTCAAACACCACTCCAAACGTTATTATGTCCGTAATACGTTTCTTACTTTTCACGAGGAGTACAATATAATATTATTACGCTCTTCACAATAATTATTGATACCACAAAAATCCTACTTATCTTGAAAACACGAATGTCAAAAAGGTATTTTAAAAAAAAAAAAATGAAATTTATAAAGTGTCCACTTCATAATGCGTCTACAACAGTACAACACAATACAAATGATTAGGAGTATAATTAATAATTACTGTAATGTTAAATCAATCGTTCTTAATTATTTTTTGTTCCTATAAGCATTAATTCGAGTTAACTGGTGGGTTTTGAGGATTTAGTGCACTTTGAATAGACTCAAAGCACGCGTTAAGCGATAGAAACCACCCGGAGTGATATCTTATCTTATTTGTGCTCACGAGCCATAATCAGTGATGGAGTCGAAGACTACTTGAAATCGTCGGCACACCCAATTAGGCAAGTCAATTCGAATTTGCTTTACGAAATAGTTTGAATTTCTTCTTTTCCATAATCATTCAAGGTCGGAGATTGTTGTTTGTATAAATGAATTAGGTATTTAAAAACTGAGAAAAATCGATACGTAAAATAACAGTTTAATATATTGTATTCATTTAACGGTGGATCAGAAAATTAGTCAAATTATCTACGATTCACAATTGGGCTAAATCGCATTAATTATATTCTCGCTAATTATAATATTCCCTCGTGATATTGAGAGGACGCTACTCTGCCATTTATTGTCTCCGTCTTATAAGTGCGTAACATGGCAAATTTACGCTCAACAGATCAAGTTTAGCTCCGTTAGTTTAAAAATTAGAGTGAATCGACCTATTATGAAGCGTTATGGTAAGAATATTAAGTATCTTTGTTTGTATGTAGGTTTTTAGTTACATTTTTTAGCAAGTTGTGAGCATTTTTAATTTACGTTATATTGTATACGCATAACTTGCTAAAAAAATAAACTATCCTAAAAAACCCACATACAAACATAGGTAGGTAATATTCTTACCTTCAAGTTTCATAATATATCGATTTACCCTAATTTTTAAACTAATTAGTGAAACCTGATCTGCTGAGCATAAATTTGCCATGTTACGCACTTCTAAGACGGAGACAACACAAATCTGTGTTGCGCGCCCTCTTAAAGCTTTTTAGCTTTGAGCTTATAATATGATATGAATTTAGATGTGCTGTTATAATTATTTTTCGATTACTAATGCCATACTTGTATGATGTTACGAAGATGTATAATACTGCATTGAAACCTATTTAAGCGTAGGTACATAGTCGCTTTAATTTCGACATGTTTATGAGTTTAGTTGTATTAAATTTAATATTAAACGCATTCAGCAAATTTATTAAATATAATATTTATTAAAATTGAACGCTAAATATTATATTCAATGCTCTGTGTGTCTCTTTGTGATTTTTTTTATTGTTGTGAGGTAATAACGTAAGACGTTGCTAGTAATTTTAACACCCAAATTTTCATACCTACTCAACTAGTCAACTAAACGTGTAACCGTGCATATATTTTATTTGAAGTTTGATCTTTCAGTTTTTTTCTTAATACTATTATTTATTTGGTCTAATAATTATATAATAAATACAATATTGTAGTGTGATAACTATCTTACACAAGTAATACATTTTTAGTATAGACCTATATCCTATGCATATAGATCCTATGCAGTTATATCCTATTATTATGTTCCATGTCACTCGTTCTGAACATACGGACATGACACTATTTCTTATAGTATAATATTTAACCAAATAGGTTTTTATGTATCTGACAAGTGTTAAATGGTATAGATATACAAAAGTCTGCTACGAACGTCTGTATTGTTTCGACAGATAAATACTTTGGGTATGTGAAAACAATTTCGTAACTGTCAACAAATGTATAAAAACGTTTTAAATTATCACATAATGTTGAATTTCTAGTAATGATATTATGTGTCGTACTTTGGCGTGTGCCCTCTGATGTTGCGCGCGACCTGTGGTCAGCTGTTCATCCCGTGCCATATACGTTATCAGTCGTCAGCGTCAGTGATTAATTAATATTTGATATCATTTTCCTGATCGTTGAAATTAACCACTGAAATTGCCCATTGACTTGATCTAGAAAATATTCCGATTAAATGAGTGAACTCGTTGAACGCAATGATAATCGTGTGTATGTTAGTTACATTTTTTACATGCTGCGACGCTTTAAGGAATCCGGTTTTAAATGACGTTAATCTTAGAAACACTCTGGTTCTATAAATAAAAATGTACAAAGCCAACTTTCCCCACTCCGGTACATGCTTGTGTGTTTTCTTTTCAATAATTAATAAGCCAGGAAATTTTCTTATTGAAAAATTGGTAGCGGCAAGGTACTAAACTGTGCGATCGCATAAAGCTTTTACGCTCTCCCTGTGTGATCTATCGTATCTATCAGTGGTAAAATATGCCACCTAATATCTATCATAATATTTTTGGCTAAAATGAACAAAATTAAGTTTTTTTATTGGTTTAATATATCAAATTACTTGATATTTCTGTGACAAAAAGTTGTGTTCGTGCCCGTAAGAAAGTCAAATATAATATTATTATGTCGATGTCTAGGTAGCCTAAAGATTCTTTCAAAGATTAACGTCAACTCTTGATAACCATACCCATTTATAACATATTCAAGAAGTATAACACAGTGAATTTAAGACTACTGCGCGACACGTAAACGTGGACGCCGCTAGTATGTATACCTATTTGATTTACTGTGAATTTTTATCTATATTATTATTATAAGTTATGAGTTATAACCAAGGTAATTCTCGGTTGTCTAATTTTTAGGCAGTAAAACACAGTTGCGTTTTATTTTATTACGGTTAATATAAAAAAACACCCACGCAACCTCTAATCTCTGTCGGTGATACTCTTTTAAGTATAATAATATTAGTAAGTATATTACTATTCTATAATCAATGCCTTCAATGGTAGTAATATACATGCGCACTGCAGTTATCCAAATACTACAGCGTCCCATGTTTGCGGTGCTTTTGTCTTTCGCTCCATCGAATGAATTTCATAATATACCATCGTCGGCAACCAATCACAATAATATTGTAATAATGAGTGATAAGGTTGTAGTGTCTAGTAAATATGCGATCCAAGTATAACTAGTAGTTTGTACGAATGATCGCAGGTATTCAAAATAGTATAATTAATAAAATTTCAGTTTTTCTCGCCCTGAGTATCTTCTGAGTATCTTTGTACTATATACATAATATTAGCTATATCACCAATGACTGTGGCGTTTCCGTTCATAAGTTATGATAGCAGTGCACTGGCGAAACGAGACTTGATCACCTTTATGTCCATCAACTCTATACGTCATGCACTGCTAGTTTTCCGGGCGTCGCGTCAAGGTGTGATGCACAATGCACATTGTCACTTTTGTAATGGACAGCCTTCTTCTAAGAATATATTATACGGTTTGATACGT